GGTTTTAAGGGTACTGAATATATGAAAACTACTGCTGTTTGAGATCAAGCACCCCAGAAACTGTTTCCAGCAACATCCTTCTGCATGTGTGACTCRCTTCACTCTTGCCAGGCTCTGCAATCTCAGCAGGACCCCCTTCCCAAAATTCTCCCCCAGCACCAAAGTTGCTCCTTTCTCCTCTCAGCCCCATGGATCTGTAATCCTCCTCCTCCAGCCGGCACAGCAGCTCAGAAAACACCAATGACACAGCATAAAAAAGTCCTACAAGGGCTGGAGTACTCCTCTATTTATAGGTCGCTTAATCTGACTAAAAAAAAAAAACTTCCACAGAGCACCAGTCAAATTGCTACCTAGATGTTTCCAGGCCCAGCCAGGGCATGCTGGCTTACTGCCATGTTTTTAAATCCTACCCTGTGCATTGAGCTTTCTCAGGAAAATCTGCTAGTGCTCATATGTGGGCAATTACTGTTGACACAAACATTAATGAACATTCCCACATTGTTTCCTTACTAAGCTGCAAGTGCAAGAAACCAAAATAATAGYGTGACCTGACAGTGTCAGGCATGTAAAGACATCCAGCATTTCTATTTCAGATGTGCAGCTGAGTGTAGCTCACTCAGAAAGAGAACAATTTGGGTCTAAGTGTTATGATTGTTCTTTCTTAAAAAACCTAATACTAGGTTTTTTTGCTGGCTGAATTCTACACTGGCTAGAAAAAAAAGGTTTCATCAACAACATAGGTTGGAGTGGTTCTGCAATGCCTAATGGATTGGCTGAGCCTTCCTCTTACACAATCAATGAAATAAGACATGTTCCATACAATAAGAGCCATGGGGACAACTTCACAACAAAACAAACCTCTTAGACTCGTCTCTCAGAATAAGAATTGATAATCTTGTTATCCTAGGGAGCACAGAAGAGAGACCAACACACAAAAGAGACAGAATCCCCTCACCTTCCTTCAAAATAKGAGTGTATAAACTCAGAGCTTTAACTCTGAGATGATGTTCAGTTATCCCTAATCCTGGCTACACCTGAGCTCCTCAGCAGCTCACAGTCCATCCTCAGGCTCCCCTGCACACCAGATGTGCCATTTGTGCCCATGTGCAGAAGCAGCTGGGCTGTGGTCACGTTTGGCAGACCCATACCTATATCAGGAGGAGATGTGGAAACCCAGAGATAACCCAGCCAAGTTCAGGGGCAGCAGGGGTGACTCTTGGCTGTGGAGAGCCTGGTTCAAAGGTGCTTCCACTCTGCAGGAAAGGTCAAAGCCTCTCCCTCTCCACTGGCTGMAGAGAGCCAGCCAGGGAATCTGACTGCTGGGGCTAAACAACCGGAGGTGTGCTCCTCTCCCTGACATCCCCAGGCCCTCCACTCACTATTTTCTGAACACCATCACTGTCAGACTTGAAATGCAGTGGGGACGGCTTGAAAGGAGAAATCCAGGAGAAAATCACACAACCCCACATTACCCACACCCCCGACCTTGCTGTGACACTCGTAAGGGGACAAGGAACACTCTGATATTGTGTGGCCCAAGGAATGTACTCACAGGCAGCTCCCCTTCATGCACGTGATTTATAACAAAGGTCAGAATAATTCCCAAGTAGCCCCTGCATCAGGGAGCAAACTAATTCCTTTCCTCTCTCCTTGRCTGCGCAGCCCAGAGCCCAGCTGCACCCGAGGTTCCAGCTCACAGTCTATATTCTGCATCATAAAAGCYACAACAGAGAAATCTAAACTAGAGAAGTAATAACCTGTAAACTAATAAACCAACCCAGCACTCTGATAGTGAGGTGCTCCCCAGAGCAGAGATTATTAATGGATGTCCTGAAACACTGTGTGTTTATGTTCAAGAAAAGTGGGAAACATTTCTGAKGCTCTGCGGATCTTACTCATTTGTTCTTGTAAAATCAGTTCAGATAAATGCAAACACTAATAGAAAAGCATCCTCCTTCCAGTCTGCACACAGAGGCACTTAAGCAGTTTAAAAAGAAAAGCAGTACGAAAGTGCTCGAATAAATAGTAATAAAGGTATAAAGCTGCAATATTAGGAGTAGTTTTACTTRTCAAAGTATGGGGCTGCACAGTCATTGATTTTCTCTTGTAATTGAGATAGTGACATGCATGACTTATGTTTCTTCAGCAGCGAGTGTATGGGAATGGAAGAAGGGATCTTGAAATCCTGTGAATCTCCAGCTGAGGATTTGATGGCTCTGAATTGCTGTCAGTCTCAATTCTTTATTTCCCTCAAACCATAAAATAGGTTATATTAACGACTGGTTATGATGAAAGACAGTTTATGAAGCTAAATGTAACAATGTTTGCAATGTGATTAGGGATCTTTTGAGGAAAGGTGCTAGAGAAACCAGGAGAGTGAGTATGGATACAGATCTTTCCCAGCCAGAAATTCTGGGAAGCAGATGGCAGGCAGACAGACAGACCCCATCAGGAAAGGTCCCATTACCTGCCATRGTGTGCATTCTCAAATTCCCATTCCCTGCCTCAGTCACACAGACAATAGGAACCTTCTCCTAAGTTCATTTCTTTAATGCATTCACTTTCAATGATGAACACTCAGTTCTCAGTTCCTTCAGTTTGCTATATCCCACTTCAGCTACATGCCGAAATGGGACATCCAATTAACTGAAACTGTGAAACACAACTTTTTTTGCCCCAAACTAATACAAAACGGCGAATAATGGTGTTTCCATGTAAATCTGAACTACAGTGGACTCTCTTTGTCCTCCTGCCATGTGAAAAATAAAATGAAGTCTGGCAAGGATGGCAGGAAAAATCCAATCCTTTGTGTCCTGAAGTAAAGTTACTCTCTGGAGAAGGAAGAGCAGGAATAAACTTCTTTATGAGTCAGGAGGTTTTACTGACAATAGTTGCTATTATCTCTGTCAAACAGGCAAAGCCTCGAGTGATTGTGGTAAGCAAGAAATAGGAATGCTGTTTATTCAGTCCTGGAAAACAGACTATTTGCCAGACTGCAAAGAGTACCAAAAAGGTATCGAGTCTTTCTGTTTGAATTAACCACAAAAATAACCTGCTGAGTTAAAAGCTTTTCCGTGGACCTCTGCTGCTCTCTAATGGTGCCTTGAAGGATTCTCAGCACAAAGTTTATGTGCTCCTCCTGTAATCAAGTTTTGATAAAACTTTTAATGCAAAACAAAATAAATATTCACGAGGTCCTTAAGAGAYGTTACCTGAACAGATAATCCACAGATCAGGTAAGTGTTGCTGCACCTATGGCCAGGATATCTGTAGTGTGATGAGAATGTTAACAAAGGACAGCTAAAATATGGAAATGAAGGTTTCAATTGTATTTTAGATGCAGCAATTGCAGGGGTTTGGAAGGTTGCAAACCTCTGAGAAATCCCAATTTTCAGGCCTTTGTATAAATTAGAATATAAAATWATTAGGCATGAGTACCAGTATTTCAAAGAAAAAAACATCAGTGTGGGATTAATTGGATGTAATTAACAGAAACTAATATTTGCACCCAGGACAGACACATTTTGTTTCATTTACTTCACACAGATATCTTTATWTTATCCCACAGTTCAGCTCCTTCAGGAGCTGCCATTGGCAAGGCCGTTTCCATGACCAAAACCAGCCTTGTTTTCATGGAATCACAGAATGGTTTGGGTTGGAAAGGACCTTAAAGATCATCTCRTTTCACCCCTTYATGGGCAGGGACATTTCYACTRTCCCRRRGTGCTCCAAGCCCTGTCCAACCTGGCCTTGGGCACTGCCAGGGATGGGGCAGCCACAGCTTCTTCTGTGCCAGAGCCTCCTCACTCTCATAGGGAAGCTCTTCCTAATATCCAATATAATTTTTCTTTTCATTTAAAATAATTTGCCTTGTGCTGTCTGCCTATGTAAAAAGTTGCCTTTTTTACATAAGCCCCTTTTATAAGCCCCTTTTATTTAAATGGGAAAGAACACCCGGGAGCTTACAGTGCAACAACAACGCCAACAGCAGAATCAGTCACATCCCAGGGGGATATCGACAGAAAAAAACCCCAAAAATTAACAATATCCACAGCCCCACCTCGGACCCCTCACACGCCAGCCCCTCATGGCGAGGGGGGGTCCTGGTCCCTGCTCCCCACCCCGCGGTGTAAAACGGGGAGAAACCGGGCATGGAGACCGGACCGGGAAAAGAGGCTTATCTCCGGAAAAAAGGGGCTCATTCCTGGGAAAAAAAAGGGGCTCATTCCTGGGAAAAAGGGGCTCATCCCCGGGAGAAAGGGGTAGCTCATCCCTGGGAGAAGGAACTCATCCCCGGGAAAAAAGGGGCTCATTCCTGGGAAAGAGGCTCATTCCTGGCAAAAAAGGGGCTCATCCCCGGGAGAAAGGGGCTAGCTCATCCCTCGGAGTAGGAGCTCATCCCCGGGAGAAGTTCATCCCCGGGAAAAAGGGGCTCATTCC